TCTTAGATTAACTTACGAGTTAAAATTAAAACTTTCAGGGGCCACACGTGCAACTCTTCTTAATAACACTTAATGCCTTTTCTGTAGCTTTAAAAACATAGCTGAAAGTAATCCTGCTCCAAAATTAATGAAATGATGAAAGGCTTATATAAAATTCAGCAACTTAACATAATGCCATTGTTTTGGGGTTTTCTTGTCATACTGGGTTCTCAAATCAGTGCACGTCTGTTACCTGAGAAGCTGACAATTTATACAACATTAGTTGGACTGCTGAATGCCAGGAATTACAACTTTGGTGGAGAATTTGTAGAAGCCATGATTCGTCAACTTAAAGAATCACTGAAAGCGAACAATTATAATGAAGCTGTATATTTGGTAAGTTATTTGTTTACTTTTTTTGTATGTTACTGACAGTGTTGGGATGGAGGGAAAAGGTGAGCTACAAACAAATAATTTATTCTTTCTCTTGAAATACAGTTGCTCACTCACCCCAACAGCTGCTCTTTNACAAATAATTTATTCTTTCTCTTGAAATACAGTTGCTCACTCACCCCAACAGCTGCTCTTTTGCAACTATTCTCATTAAAGGTAACACAGCTCATTACCAAATCCAGTGACTTGTTTTCACTCTAAATCCTAGTTGACCTCCCTGCACCATGTGATTCTTTACATTATTTTCTTAACCCTTGGTTTCTGTAGCACCATTTTTTTCAGGACCTCCTGCTGCCATCTACCTTATTCCTCAGTCTCCTCTTCTTGGGTCATCTTTCTTTTCCCCTTAAATTTTTGTGTTTCCCCAGATTCTGTCCTTACTTGACTTTTCTTTAAACACTCTCTCCTGAAGCATTCTCATTCACTCTCATAGCTTCATAAACCACCTTTATTTTGATGACCCCCTTTCCCTCACCCCAAAATCTATAACTGTGTCTCAAACTTCAGCCTTTCTCTTGAGCTAAGGCCTATATTCCAAATGCTACCTGCAAAGCCTTTAGATACCTTACCTGGACATCCCTAAATTAATGCATTATTCATACTTCCTTTCCTTCTGTCCTCTCTCCATCTCATACACAGTGGCCACTGTCTACTGGATAACCCATCTAGAAACCTGAGCACTAGTTTTTGTCTTCCTTTTGTCTCCTTACAACATAAGCATCCCAAGCCCTGTCAATTCTACCTCCTGAATTTCTCTCAAATCTATTTTGTCTCTGTCTCCAGGGTCTATAACATAGTTCACGTTCTTAACAGCCTGAATAAGCTTATTTCTGTTGCTTATAACAAAATACCTGGAACTGGGTAATATATAAGAAAATGAAATTTATTGCTTATGGTTTCAGAGGCTGGGAAGTTCACAGTGCAGGGAACACATCTGGTGAGGGTCTTGCTGGTGGCAGCAGTGACCCAGGGGCTCACATGGCAGAAAATGGCGGAGCAGAGAGAGACTAACCTCTCATGCTCTTCTTTTAAAACCCTCAGAACCACACCCCTGACCACCATTTTTAATCCATTCACTATAGCATGGTCCTACAATCTAATCACTTCTTCAAGGCTCCACTTTTCAATTACTGTGATAGGATTTCCCACCCTCAACAATTACAGTGGGGATTTAAGCTTCAGTGAGGTTCAGCGGGCATCCAATCTACAGCACAGCCTCTTAAACTCATCTTTTTACATCTGTATTCTCTGCCTTTCACTTTATCTTCTGCAGTGACACCAGAGTGGTCCTTCTATAACTAGGCTGTGCTCACATTGGTTGCTGGTTAGAAACCTTTAGTTCCTTCTTATTGTCTACAGTAAATGGTCTTTAAAGCTAGTGCATAAGATGATTCATTGGGTTACAGGAAATAAATATTAGAAGTGTTATTTATCTTAAGTGAAAATGGAATTAA